CCTCATCCTCCAGGACTCTGGGAGGGGCAGAGTCCAAGGAACAAGGTGGGGTTCTGCATTCTTCTGGCTACAGACTTGAGCACAGGCCCAACTGTCCCCCAAGGGGGCTCTCCGGGGAAGTCTGGATGCCAAGCTGGGCTCAGGGACTGGTGTGTGTGTGTGTGTGTGTGTGTGTGTATGTATGTATATGAATGTGCGTGCATGAGTGTGTGCATGTGTAACGAATATGTGCACAAGTGTATATGTATGTGTGTATATGTATGTGTGTGTGCCTGTGGTCAGAGCCAGGGGTTGGCCCCAGGGTGTGGAGCAGGCCCTGCATGTGCCCTAGCATCTCCCCCTTCTTCCTCCCCTCCCCCGCACCGGAGCTGAGGGCAGAGGGCAGGGTGAATTGCCCTGCTGTGTCCTCCCAGGCAGAATGGGCGCCCCCTGCAGGCCTGGCGGAGCCAGCAGCAGCGAGTGGAGACTCAAGGGTCCCAAGGGTGGGAGCTGGAAAGCAGTGCTGGAACTTTCCCTTTCTAAGAAAAGGAAGCTTCTTCCCAGGAGGCGCTGCAGATCTGGGACCTGGCTGGGATGGGGGGTGGGGGAGCTGTCACTCCGCGAATTCCACTGACAACCAGCGCCAATAGATTCCGGCGGGGGTGGGGGGGCGGGGGGCGGGGGGTGGGGCGGTGGTGGTCCCCTCCCAGGAGCCAAACCGCTGGGAAACCTCTGAACTGGGAGGGGAGCGGGGTTCCGGAGGGTGGAGCGTGGAGGGGGGATGGAGTCAGCAGGAGGCCTCGCCCTGCATCCTGGCTGCCTCCAGAGCCTGGGGACAGACAGGCTGGAATTTCTAAAGACAGGGACGGGGTGGGAAAGGGCTGGGGGGGGGGGGGGGCAGCCGGGAGGCGTGTTGATGTCATGAGGTGTCCAGGGCGTGATCATCCCTCAGAGCCAGAGATAAGCGGGAGATGGGGAAGGGGGGTTAGATTGGGGGAGACAGCGAGCAGGAAGGCCGGATCCCGTCCAGATCCGGGGTGAGGTCACCGGGGAAGCATGCGGCCCACAGGGGCTGCGCGGGCCCAGAGGAAGGGAGGGGAACGGACCCAGAACGCGCCTCGGTCTTTCTGTTTCAAAGATGAATTCCTATAAAATAGCATAATAGGAGGCTGACACCCCAGGACAGTAGGCACAAGGGCCAGGAAGATTGCCCCATAGTTGGAAGCCTGTCTGATGAGCGGATGGGGGAGAAGGCAGCTGGGATAGAGAAGGGACCACTAAGTCAGCGATGGTTGGAGGGATCGTTCTGGATAGGAGATGTGTGCTGAAAGTAGATAAAGGACCAAACGTGATAAACCTCTCAGTATCTGTATTGCACACCATAATGCCCCAAAGGAGAGAGAGAGTCTGGGGGAAACTGTCTGCTATAGAGGCAGGGGGAGGGTTGGAAAGGGGAGGGAATACTGGGGTCATTGGTGTGGGGAATGTGCACTGGTGGAGGGATGGGTGTTCGATCATTGTAGGATTGAAACTCAAACATGAAAGATTGTAACTGCATCTCATGGAGATTCAATAAAAATAACAATTAAAAAATTTTAAAGGAAAAACAAACAAACAAAAAACGAAAAACAAAGATGAATTCCTCCGTGTCTGTACAGAACGTGCAGGCAAACTGAGTGCAGAGTCCCAGGGTGCTGACTCTGGGTGGACAGCTGTTCTGGAAGGCCGGAGAACCTGCAGCTTTTGTTCTCAACCCGCTCCCCTCCCCCCCACATATCTCTGGATGCTCAGGGAGCGTGGCACCCACCTGAATCCATTTGGAAACACTCCTGAAAACTGCCTTTGCCCAAGAGGCTCTTGGCGGGGGGGTGTGAGGGTGAGGGCAGGTGAGGGGGGTTAGTTCCTGCTTCCTGTGTGCCTGGGGGGTTCCTGGGAACTGTGAGGTGAAGGGGGCAGCCTGCTGGGAAGAGGCCGTGGGGGAGGCTCCCAGGGTGAGGCCTTTCCGGGAGGCTGCACAGGGTGAACCCAATCCCTGTGTGCCCTCCCAGCTCCAAGCCAGTCTGCCTAACTTCTGGGTGGGGCCTGTGCTTTTAGCATGGACCCTACTTCGCTTCCCAGACCCAAGACCGGTCCTGTTCCCAAGCCCGGTGCTGGGAGCTGCAGCCCAGCGCCATCACTCCCACGAGGAGGTTGTTCCTGGTCCATTCAGGCCCTTGGCCCAACCCTCCACTCTGGGTGCTGTTTACGAGAGAGGTACCACCAGGGCCCCGTGAGCAGGCCAGGAGCAGGGCTTGGGTGGCTGGTCAGGGATGCTTAGAAGGCTGGTGGGCTTTTCACTGCCCGGAGTAAGACTCATGTGCTCAAGAGGCATCAGCCTCTCACAGCCGTCGCCATGTCTCATCCACCCCCCGGCCCAGCTCTACTGAGGCCAGACTCAGTCTCCAGGGATATGCCAGCCAAGCAGCTCCATTCATAGAAGCACCAGCCCCCGTGGCTGAAAACTCTGGGGTGCCCTTGAGAGGCAGCTGGGCCTTAGACCCGACCTGCTGCAGCCGGCCGTGACCCCAACTGCTGCCATCAGGCCAAGCCTCAACGCCTCTGCTTCACGGAGATTCTCTGCAGAGATGCCAAACAGGGAATCATTTCAGGTGCCCAGTGCCCAGGCTGAGAAATCTAGTGTGGAGGCCAGAGCAATAGCACAGCATGTAGGGCGTTTGCCTTGCATGGGGCCAACTTGGGTTCGATTCCCAGCATCCCATATAGTCCCCCGAGCACCGCCAGGAGTAATTCCTGAGTGCAGAGCGAGGAGTAACTTCTGAGCATCGCTGGGTGTGGCCCAAAAAGAAAAAAGGAAAAAGAAAAAAAAATCGAGTGTCTTCTTGGTGGAGTGGGGCGGACAGCTTCCTTCCAGGCAGGATGTGGCCAGGTCTCTTCAGAGTGAGGTCCTTGAAAGACACGCCCCAGCTGAGTTGAGGCACTTTGGCTGCGCCAGCATCAACGTGGGGACTGAGAAATGGAAATTTGACCATCGCCAGGAAAAGCTACAAGACCATGTGAGCCCAGCCTCCTCCCACCAAGGAGAGGGGGCCTGATGCGAAACCAAAACTAGACCGGGGCGATAGGACAACTTTGCCTTTGTGGGGTGTGCCTTTGGGGTGCGCCTTTGCCTTGCGTGCGGCTAATGCTGGGTTCAATCCCCGGCATCCCATATGGTTCCCTGAGCATTGGCATGAGTGATTTCTGAGTGCAGAGGCAGGAGAAACCCCTGAGCATCACCAGCTGTGGAGAGAGAGAGAGAGAGAGAGAGAGAGAGAGAGAGAGAGAGAGAACAAACAAATTTATTCACAACTGGATTTTGGACTTTCAGGATCCCCAGACTAGGGTTCAATCCCCAGCATCCCATAGGGTCCCCTGAGCACTGCCAGGAGTGATTCCTGAGTGCAGAGCCAGGAGTAACCCCTGAGCATCCCCAGGTATGATGAAAGAGAGGAGAGACAGGTGGGGGGGGGGGGGAGAGAGAGAGAGAGAGAGAGAGAGAGAGAGAGAGAGAGAGAGAGAGAGCTCAAATCTATTCACAGCTGGAACTCAGGACTTCCAGGCTCCCAGACTAGTGATCAGCCCATAAAGGCCCATAGCTGTGGGGGGTTCACAGGATGTGTCCCCACGAGATCAGCCCCGTCTCCCAGGGCTGCCGTGGACTCGGGGCTGGGCTGACTCGGGTGAGTGCTGCTGGCAAAATTCGTGGAGGCTGCTCCGTAAACCTGCCGACACCTGCCCGCAGGCTTCCAGTTCTCCCCTCACCCACTCACCCACAGGAAAGGCAACTCTTTCGAAAAACTCTGCCACAGGGCAGGACGCAGTGTCGTGGCCAAGTGGTGGCTCCTGACCTGCTCAGTCTCCTGCCTCGGGGGGCAGGCTGGGGAGAGTCGTGCACACGCTGGTCCTTGCCATCAGTGACGCCTGACCACGCTGCTCTTCGTTCAAAATACATTTTATTAGTGGCACATGGGACGGGGACATGAAAGCAATTTCTTTCCACAGAGAAGGTAAGCTCCAACGGGTTAGGAGAAAGAGAACAAAAACGCAGCCACCGCAGGAAGACCATTTCCAGTATGAAAAGCAACGAATAGGAACACTCTCCGCCGAGGAAATGACATTCTGGACCATTCCCCCTTCCCTCCCCCGCAATTTGGCTGGAGGTGGGTGGTGGTGGTAGGGGGGACCCCATAGCACTGGACAGTCTTAGAATGCGTTAAGTCTCACGGGCCACTTCGACAATCTCACCCTGTTGGAGGGGGAGAGGGGGTTCCCTGCGGCTCTCCATGAGGACCCGGAGGGTCTGTGGTAGGTGCTGGCCTGTAGGGGCTCATTGGTGAGTGGACACCTCTGGGAACCCCAGCAAATCCTCAGACTCGCCGTCCCTGGCTGTGCCCCCTACCTCCAGCTCAGGGAGCTAGGGGCTTCCAGAGAGGCCTTGGAAAGGGCCTGGACATGTGTGGCTCTGACGGGTCTTAGAAAAGTCGGCTGTGATGGGTCTCTGGCTGCTGGCGTGCTGGCTGGGGACAGACCGCAGCAGGTTCCGTGGCTCCGGCCTCACACCCACATCCCGTCTCTAACTCCTCCTTCCCACCTGCCCTTGCCCTCTGGGGAACGTCTGCCACTCAGTGAGTGTCCCCCCAACCCTGCCCAGGGAGCCTGTGACCTCCGCACCCTCCCCCCCCCAACCCCGGTGCCCTTCTGCAGGCTGGCAGCTTCCTACTCTCCCTGCCGCAGCCCTGCAGGGGCACGGGCCACTCTCTGTGGTCCCACTGGTGCTTCTCCTCAGAGAGGGATGGTCCCCTCTCCTCTCTGCTGAGTCTGCCCCTCCACCAGTGCCTCCGACACTAAGTGACCACGGCAACAAAACGACGGCCAGACTGCGTGAGTTTTCCATGTCTAGATCTAATTGATTACGCTATCATCTCCACACCGGGGAGCCATCCGCCCCCCGGGAACCTGGTCCCCCACCTCCACTCGGGGCCCATCCTCACGAGACCTTGAGGTCAGTGACTCTGGTGTCCCCCAGGTCGGTGCCGCAATACAGCTTGCCATTCTTGGCCGCTGCCCAGGGCATGGAGGTGGACGTCCACTTGGCCACCCAGTCGCCTTTTTTGTTCACCAGGATGACACCGCCCAAGCCGCTGAGCTTCGACTTCATATACTCCAACGCCGTCTTTGCAGCCTCTTCCAGGGTCTTTCCTGAGGGCAAGAGTGAGGGGGGTGGGGGTGTGCAGAAACGACACGCGTGACCAGAGCGGACAGCAGGAGGGACAGTCACGTGCGACACGGACCACCAGCCGCACCTGAGATGCATCGCCCCCAGGCCCACCCAACCTAGGCTCGGCCAGGCTCTACCGCGCCCCCTGGTGGCCGAGGCACGAAAGTCAGGTGTGCTGGAGAGAGGCCTGTGACCTCGGAGTCCTGCAGGAATGGGGTCCTGCCTACTCCTCCAGCTCTCTCACCTAACCCCCCACCCCACCCCCCTCCCCGGTGCCCATGCACTCTGTACCTTGTTCCACGTAGAAAAGGGTGAGCCGGGCCAGGTTCACCCTCAGGATGCTCTCCCCGTGCCCCGTGGTCGAAATGGCTCCAATGTCAATGTCGGCGTAACCTCCAGATCCTGCTCGAGAGACGGGCTGGGTTCAGGCAGTGCAGTCCAGGAAGCCACACCCTGGGGCCCGGAGAGATAGCACAGCGGGGAGGGCGTTGGCCTTGCCCGTGGGAGACCCGGGTTCCATCCCTGGCATCCCATAGGGTCCCCTTGAGCACCACATGGCTCTAGTGTGCAGAGCCAGGAGAGACCCCTGAGCATCGCCGGGTGTGGCTCCCATACAAACAAACAACCCGCCCCCCCCCCAAACAATCGCCATCAACCCGACTGGGACTCTCTGATGCTGCTACCAGTACCAAGGAGGAAGGCGGAGAAGGGCAGCAGGGGCCCAGGGTTACCTACCGATGCACGGTGTGTCCCCAACGCGACCAATCATCTTATTAATGGTGCCCCCCGTGGAGGTTGCGTAAGCCACATTCCCTTTGCTGTCCAAGGCAACAGCGCCCACGGTTCCTAAGTTTCTGCCAAGAACAAACACAGAGGAAGCCCCGGGCTCAAGATGAGAACCCCTTGTGGAGGCGACACTAGCTTAGCGCCACCGAAACGCCCTCGGATATGCCACCGGCCAGCGGGACACACTTTGATGCGGATGACCCCCACTTTTTAAAAAAATTTTAATTTTTTTATTTTAATGAATCATCATGAGATACATTTAGAGACTTACAGACTTCCATGATTGCGTTTCAGTCAAACAATGTTGGGGTACCCATCCCTCCACCAGTGTCTATTCTCCACCCCCAATGTTCCCAGTATCCCTCCTCCCACCCCTACCCTTCCCACCTCCTGATTCTGTGGTGGGCACAGTCCCTCTTTCTCTCTCTATCCCTTTGGGTGTTACGGTTTGCAATGTAGGTAACAAGCAGTAAAGTATGTTTGGTCCATATTTTACTTTCTTTTCTACCACAGCACAGTGGTAGGGTGTTTGCCTTGCACACAGCCAGCCTGGCCTAGCCGGGTTCGATTCCTCCGCCCCTCTCAGAGAGCCTGGCAAGCTACCGAGAGTATTCAATATGCCAAGCACAGTAACAAGAAGTCTCACAATGGAGATGTTACTGGGCCCGCTCAAGCAAACTGATGAACAACGGGAGGACAATGGTTTATTGAATCACTGTGGGAAAAGTTATAAAGCTTTCAGGTTTAAGTCTCCGTCATGCAATCATCAAACACATTTCCCTTCACCAGTACTTATTTTTCACCACCAAGTACCCCAATAACCCCCCCAACCCTCCCACTGCCTGTGAGGCAGATGAATTCCAGTTAACTATCTACTTTGATTAGATTCATTGTTTCGACAAAAGGTGCACCATTATTATTTAGAGTTTACACCCCAAAATCAGACCTGCTGAAAAGGCATTGTGAAATAATTTGTTTTCTACAGCTGGTTACAAGAACCAAACGATGTCACGCGGCCACTGTTGTGATTTTGCGATTTTGGATTTCTGGTATTTTACTTATTAAGCCTGGAAGTATTTCTGCCGAGAGTCAGATAATTATGAGATTGGTTTCTGTGGTTCTGGAACCATGGCCATGCTGGAGAGCCGCTCGTGGGGGGCAACTCGTGACCTCGATAGGGCATGAAGGACGAGCCGGGAACGACCCCCTTCCCATGAGGTTTCAGTCGCCCCGTCACGACGGGCTCATACCTGGCTTTTCAAAAAGCTCCGAGGTGGCTCCATACTTTACTTTCAATGTGCATCTACCATCTCCAACCATCATTTATTTAGTGCTCCTCTCTCCATCCCAGCTACCATTCCCCCCAGCGCCTGAGATCGGCTATCAAGCCGTGGAGCAGTCCTCCTGACCCTTATTTTAACTGTCCTTAGGTGTGAGCCGATGCCCCCTTTTTCACTTTCCTCATTTTTCTTCCTATTCTACACACGGCAGCTCGCTAGGTGCCCCTTTGCCGCGACTTTCTGAGCGTGACCCGTCCTAGCTCCAGCATTTCCAGCTGTGTAATTTAGTCATCAATTTTCTCTGCCCCTCAGATTCCCATCTATAGAATGGGAGGACACCTCATCAAAGCGCTTCTCATGTGCCAGGCCGCAAACACTGGGACTCTGGAAGCGGCCACCACGTCGTGGGTCAAGGTCCTTCTCCCGGGGAGGCTGCCTCTGGTCACATGGACACACAAACTCTCAGGTTGTACCGGAGAGTCACCAGAGTGAAGTTGACTGTGGGGACAGAGGGCGGAGGTGCCGTTTCCACAGGGCTGGCAGGCCGTGTCGATCGCTAGGGAAGAGTGATCCTGAGGCAAGAACGCGCTTGCCAAGTTCACGAACTCTTAACGGGGGCTGCTGGGTTTACAGGGGTCAAATGAGGAGCAGAGCAGGCAGCTGCCACATCATATGATGTGGTTAAACCTCCTGGCCACTGAGGGCAGTCCTGATTTATGCTGGCTGTCCTGGCCTAATTAACAGCGTCTGTGCACTCTTAAAGAAAGTTCCAGTCTGAACCCTAAACCGTACGGTCATCCTGCTTCCAGGCATGACAAGAGCGCATGACAAGGAAAGACACCAGTGGGCTGGAGTCAAGAGGGAAGTGATAATAGTAATCATTCATGGGGCCAGAGAGATCATACAGTGGGGAGGGTGCTTGCCTTGCATGCAGCTATCCCGGGTTCGAGCCCCGGCTTCCCATATGGCCCCCCTGAGCACTGCCAGAAGTGATTCCGAGTGCAGAGCCAGGAGTAACCCCTGAGCATCGCCGGGTATGGCCCCCCAAATAAAACAAACAACCCCCCCAAAGTAATCAATCATGTCATTACAGTGCCCCCCCCCCCAATGATGGCTGTAAGTGGGAAAGAAATGACACCTAGCCTATCTCTGGCCAGTCTGTGCTGTAAATGGAATTCTTCTGCACTGCCGGAAATGTAAATTGGCTGACCCCGCCTCGCCCCTTAGGAAAACTAATCATTATACACCTACATTTCTGGGAGATCTGGTCAGCAAACTAAACAAAACCAAACTCGACATTGCTCACTAGGGAACCACAGCAAGCTGAAATCAGCAAGAACGGCCACCGAAGGCTGGGGACAGAGTTGTGAAATGGTATGAGAAGGAACCACTGCCGTGTGTGACACGCAAATGAAACCCAGAAAGGAGAGGCGCCCCCTGCCTCTCCGACATGTGTATATTACATGGCTGCAGTTACTTATTTCCAGGGGGTACTGGGTCATACCCCGCAGCGTCCAAGAACCATCGCTGGCTCTGTGCTCAGGTGACCCTGATGGGGTGCTGGGGATTCGAACCAGGAGCCTGGTGGCTGCAATAGAAAACAAATTGTCTACTGTTGCCTTTTCGGCAGATATCAGTGTTGGGGTAAAATCCCAAATAATAATGGTGGGTGTGATGTTGAAATGTTGAATAAAATCAAAGTATAGCGAGAGTAACTTGGAAATCATCTACCCCACAGGCATAGGGAGGTGTGGGATGGGGGTATACTGGGGATTTTGGTGGTGGATAATGGGCACTGGTGAAGGTATGGGTGTTTCATTGTATGACCGAGACTTAATCCCGAAAGCTTTCTAATCTGCTCTCACGGCAATTCAATAAATAAAATTATTTTAAAAATGGGGGGAAAAAAGTAAGGGGGAGTTCATGTACAATTCAATCAACCTAATCAGTGGCTGAATAAATAGCAGTATTCCTACATAAAAAAAGCATCTTTAATGATGAAATAGCACTTACCATGCAAGTGGAAGCAAACATAAAGAAATGGGACTATATCAAACTAAGAAGTTTCTGCAATTCAAAAGAAACAGTGACCAAAATACAGAAGGAACCCACAGGATGGGAAATAATATTTACCCAATACCCATTTGATAAGGGATTAATATCTAGAATATACAAGACACTAGTAGAATTGTACAAGAAAAAAACCTCCAACCCCATCAAAAAATGAGAAGAAATGAACAGAAGCTTCCTCAAAAAAAGAAATACAAATGGCCAAAAGGCACATGAAAAAATGCTCCACATCACTAATCATCAGGGAGATGCAAATCAAAACAACAATGAGATGTCATCTCACACCACAGAGACTGGCACACATTCAAAGGAACAAAAGCAACCAGTGCTGGCGTGGATGTGGGGAAAAAAGGGACGCTCTTTCACTGTTGGTGGGAATGCCCACCAGTCCAGTCTTTCTGGAAAACAATATGGACAGTTCTTCAAAAACTAGAAATTGAGCTTCCATATGACTCCGCAATACCACTTCTGGGAATATATCCCAAGGATGCAAAAAAAGCACAGTAGAAATGACATCTGTACCTCTATATTCATTGCAGCACTGTTCACAATAGTCAAAATCTGGAAACAACCCAAGTGTCCTAGAACAGATAAATGGTTAAAGAAACTTTGGCACATCTACACAATGGAATACTATGCAGCTGTTAGAAAAGATGAAATCATGAAATTTACATACAAATGGTTCTACATGGAAAATATGCTAAGTGAAATGAGCCAGAAAGAAAGGGACAGATATAGAAAGACTGCACTCATCTGGGGAATATAAAGTAACAGAATAGGAGTCGAACACCCAAGAATAGTTGAGATAAGTACCAGGAGGTCTGCTCCAGGGCTTGGACGCCGGCAGCAATGCTGGGGAAAAAGGCAGCTCAGATAGAGAAGGGAACACCAATCAAAGGATGTTTGGAGGACTCGCTCGGGATGTGAGATGCATGCTGAAAATGACTATAAACTGAATACGATGGTCACTCAATACCTCTATTGCAAACTACAACACCCTAAAGGAAAGAGTGAGCAAAAGGGAATGCCCTGCCACAGAGGTGGGGTGGGGTGGGGGGATGTGGTGGGGGATGGGAGGGCTACTGGGATAATTGGTGGTGGAGAATGGGCACTGGTGGAGGGACGGGTACTCGATCATTGTATAACTGAAACCCAAGCATGAAAGTTTGTAAGTCTACAACTCTACCTCATGGTGTTTCACTAATAAAAAAAAGAAAAAGAAAAGAAACTTTGGCACATCTACACAATGGAATACGATGCAGCTGTTAGGAGAGATGAGGTCATGAAATTTCTTATAAATGGAGAGTATCATGCTAAGTGAAATGAGTCAGAAAGAGAGGGACTGCACTCATCTGTGGAGTACAAAACAACATAACATGAGACTGACACCTAAGGATAGTAAATACACGGGACAGGAAGATTGCTCCATAGCCGGAAGCCTTCCTCATGTGCAAAGGGGAGAAGGCAGCTGGAATACAGAAAGTATCACTAAGAAAATGATGGCTTGAGGAACCGATCAGAATGGGAGATGTGTGCTGAAAGTAGATGATGGACCAAACATGATAACCTCTCAGGGTCTGAATTGCAAACCATAATACCCCAAAGTAGAGATTATGGGGAATCATGTCTGCCATGGAGACAGGGGGAGGGTGGGAAGGGGGGGAATACCAGGGATATTGGGGTGGGGAATGTGCACCGGTGGAGGGATGGGTGTTTGATGGGATTACATTGTGTGA